CATACGGCAGGGAGGGAAACAGGGCGCAACAACATCAGCCGGGTACATAGTTCGCCACAAGCGCTGCCTCGGCCGCCCTACTCGCTTCTACAGCAGTGTCCGGTCGCCGTTTCTTCCCCCCCACCGCCGCTTCCCCGACTCTCTTTCTCTTCGGTCCTGAGATGGCCGTACTCTCTGCTTCTGCTTCCCTCGCGCGCTGGCGCTTCGCGGACGCTTCCGCCTCCTGCCTGTGCCATTTCCTCATGAACCATGCCGCCCCGTCCTCGACCTTGTTGTACCACACCTCCGAGTCCTTGGCGCTCTCTTTCCATTTCCCCCCTTCCTTTTCGTCTCCCATGTTGAAGGCCACGATGTGTGGGTCCTCCAACCTACATGCTCCCCACAACCATTGACTAGTCTATGGTATTCCACGATATTTTAACAAGACGAATGGGGGGAGGAGTTACTGGCTTTGATGCGTCTGTCTGACTGACTGACGACATGCACTACAGAGCACTGGGTACGGAAATCCTCCTGTAGTAAAATGTCAAGCTCATCCCCCGTGGACGAATGTTGTAGACTGGTCTACATACATACGTCGATGGTATGCAGCAGACATTTAGACTGCTGTAAGTGTTCTTTTCGCCGCAGACCCGATCCAAGTGGGAACCTTGCGCCCACCAGCACAGCAGGTCACACCACCCGCCCCGCCAGTCCTCTTGCGCGTTGTTCCTTCCTCGCCCATGCACGGAATTCGCCAGCGCTTGTCCTTGGATTTTTTTTTATTGAGGCAAGATTTCCATACCACCTTTACCTTGACTGCTAGTCTAGACTATGCATTGACTAGTCAACAACCGAGTATTTTGCTGACACACCATTCATCATTGTGAACTGCTGTTCTGCCGCTGTAGCGACATCGATCGGCACGAGGCTGCACACTACTGCCTGACAACGTGCACGGCCAATTTTATCTTGAGCAACAACCTGACGAGCACGGGGATGTCGATGGGCAACGCCCCTCACGATAGACGAGGGAGCGAGCGCTATTTGCCAAGATCACATGCACGCACGCGGGCGCTAAGATATCCGGCTCAGCGACCATGTGTGGGGCAACCCGGGAACGAGTTATATTTATTTCGCGCGAAGCGCGAAAAAAATACGAAGAGGCGTATTCGAATGACGCGTCCTTTCGTTGTCTTAAAGTTTGACAGAAGGAATCCATGTGTGGTTATTCAGTGCCAAAGGTTGCGGGTTCAATCCCCCTCAGCGCCAACCTTTGTTTGCACCTTCCTTTCTTTCCCGATTTTTCTTCACGATGGGAGGGCCATTACCACCTATTGGCGGTAAACTAGCGAGTAAACCACCGTTTACGCGAAGGAAATTGTAGTTCATTGCTGTACACGCCTGCGAAATTGCAGTCTGCGCGAAACGTGGCAGCTTCTCTCTGTCTCGCGTGTGCAGCTTCAGAACAACAACATCTGTTATTTTCTACAGGAAAAGAGTATTCTTCGTGCTCGCCATCAGAACGTGACGTTTTCTTGAAACAATTAGCCATAAACTCTGGCCCACTTGTCGTGTCGTGCTTCGAACCAAAGATACAGAGAAAAAAAAACGGCATCAATATCATAATACATAGGACTCGCCGAAACCATGACGCGTAACCTCTCCTGTGAGGCACGCTTCAGGTGCAAGCTACTACCACAGAATAACCGGTTCCTCCCTGCATCATATTGCTGGGCGGTTTTATACAACAAGAACACCCCATGCCCGTTTTACGTATATACAAGTAAAATTCAGCTTTCAGTGTATGAGCCACGGCAGACATTGCAAAGGCAGGGCGGGAACACCCTTTTCTTCCGTGCTTTAATGTAGTTCATTTCGCTCTGTGCGCGCCGTTGGTCCTCGGGCATGGAGCATGCTGTCTGTTTCGAGCGAGGTCCCGGGTGATGCATAAGCCATGCTCCCTTATGATGCCCACAAGTTGTGCACGCCCTGAAGGAAGAGCCAGGCGCCCTGCCTCTGCTGCCCTGATTGGTGTTTGCACTACTCCCACCCTCGCCCCGTTGCATGCCGTAGCCACCTGGTGTTGACGCCCCCGTCGCCCCCGTTCCCGCCGGGCCGCCCTCACCGGCTGTCCCTGTCCCTGCTTCGGCCGCCCTCTCCGTCCCCGTCGCGGAAGCGGCCGCCGACGCCGTCGACGTAAGCGATCCCCCCAGCCTGCGGTCGGGAGCAGGCATCCGTCCCACGCCGACAGACTGCGTGAACATTTCGGGCGACGCTTGTTGCCTCAGCGAAGACGAAAGCTGCCGAAACCCTCCCTGGAGCGGTGCCATAGTGTTGACGAAATTCAACTGCTCGCGAAACGACAAAGTGTAGGCCTGCAGCTGGTTAGCTGGTACTGGGGCCGCTCCGAACAAGCTCACCCGGCTCGATCGCCGGGCGTCAGCCCGTGACACGTACTTCAGTTGATTCACCATAAACTTCGTGTGTTCCTGCANGCTCGCGAAACGACAAAGTGTAGGCCCGCAGCTGGTTAGCTGGTACTGGGGCCGCTCCGAACAAGCTCACCCGGCTCGATCGCCGGGCGTCAGCCAGTGACACGTACTTCAGTTGATTCACCATAAACTTCGTCGTGTGTGCCTGCACAAATTATTGAGCATGCGATAAGTTTGGGGCGGGAGGGTTGCAACATGCTTCAGAGCGGCACGTCGTAGACAATACCGGGAACATTGTTTCGCGAAAGTTCCCTGACCAAATGAAAGAATGGTACGCAAATTTACCTGGCGGATGTACTTGGCAGCGGCGGAGAAGCCCTTCCCATGGACCAGGTCGTCTGCGAGCCGGTCGACAAGACGAATGTCGATACCCGACCGATGAGTGAGAATGAAAGGAAATTCCTTCGACACGTAGTCAGGAAGGCGATCCAGGCATCCGACATCCCACGCGTTGAAACTGGTAGGGCGCTACTCCGACTCCTCCACGGTCCCGTTGTGTTCCACACACCGCTCGCACTTGTACCTGTCCGCGAACAAACAAGCGGGACAGCCGACGGTCAAACAGGCGGCGAACTGATCCGCGCGGTTTGCAAATTGTAACACACCACATACTCGGCGTACCACCAAAAAACCTCACGCTGACTGGGCTTACCGGAATCCTATGATGTACCCTACGTCTTCCTCCATGAACACCCGTCGTGGCCCCTTGGGGTTCCATCCATCTGGCGAACCCCTTTTCCCGCACCTTGGACACGGAATTCTCGCCAGCGCTAGCTCCGGGAACAAATACTCGGGTATCCACGCGAACAGTGGCTTCAGAAGGAACGGGGAAAGTTTCGGCAATCCTGCGAAAAAACGTGGTGGACAGCGGTCATGGAGGCATGAGAAACGAAAATCGAGTTCGTGTAGCTTATAGACGGAAAGCGGTCAATCGTCAGGAGTACAAAACTGCTGTTCAAAGCAGCAAAGGAAACCCGGACGTCGGGTGCATACCTGAGGTGTTCTGCATCGTAGCACACTTCGGGAAAATGAGGGGGCTGCTGTAGGGGACCTTTCCACTGCCTCCCCTAGGTGCCGCCACGCCGCCGCTGTGATGGATGATGTTGGCGTCGATGTTCTTCTTGACGGTACGGAAATGATCCCGCATTGCAGGAGACAACCGTTGGCTATCCTCAACACCACCCCCGCGGACGGGAGGGGGAGCTGACGTTCCCGCCGCTCCACCTGCCCGTGCCGCTGCCCCTCTCCCAGCCTCTCGTACCCCCATCGGTGCTCCTCGTCCACTACCCCTTCCTCCGCCCCCCCCTGCACTCCCACCTCCTTGTGTTTCCCGTCTAGCTCTGCCACTGCCTTGACC